AAAGCTCCACCTGCTTTTTTATGTACTTTGCAGATGAAATGCACATAAAAACCAGTCAGAGGCTTCAATGGCACTGCTGCAGTCACCATCTTGACTTTTTTGACCATCCCTTGGAAACATGCTGGCTGGGGAATTCTGGGAGTTGAAGTCCACACACCTTAAAGTGGCCAAGGTTGAGAAACACTGCTTTAAACCATATCTTGATGCCATCTTCTCCTCTCCAGGCTAAGCATCTTGACTTTTTTGACCATCCCTTGGAACCATGCTGGCTGGGGTATTCTGGGAGTTGAAGTCCACACCTCTTAAAGTGGCCAAGGTTGAGAAACACTGCTTTAAACCATATCTTGATGCCATCTTCTCCTCTCCAGGCTAAGCCTACTCAATTCTAACCAATAATCCATGCTGCCTTTCCAACGACAGGTCCAGAAGGGTGCAATCTCTTCATCTACCATCTGCCTCAAGAGTTTGGGGACAATGAACTGATGCAAATGTTTCTTCCCTTTGGGAACATCATCTCCTCCAAAGTGTTTATGGATCGGGCCACGAACCAGAGCAAATGTTTCGGTGAGTGAGCCGCGAGAAAAGAGGGAAGGGTCTTTGGTGCTGTGGGGGAAAAGTAGGAAACTGGGTTCTTCTGTGGGGAATAACGTTAAGGGTGTGTTGTGTAGCTTTGAAAAACAAAATCTGGGCATACCATTAAAAAGAGAGATGAAACTAGAGGTGTGCTAAGTATTTTGAGGTCAGAATGTCCAACTTTGGAACATAAGCATAGCCCTGTTGGGTTGGCCAAGGTCCATCTTACTCCGGCTTTGTTTATCCCAAGGGCCAACCAGATCCCTCTGGGTGCTTGCCAGCAAGGGATGGAAGCTTAATCCCGCTCCCACCACTGTTCTCCTACAACTGGTATCTGGAAGTATGTTGATTTCTACTCTGAGATGATATTGACTCTCCAAGACCAATGGCCCTTGGCAGACCTGTCCTCCATGAATCTATCCAATGCCCTTTGAAAGCCATCCAAGTTAGTGACCATCACCATATCCTGTGGCAGTGAGTTCCACAGCTTCACAACCAGCCCTCTGAAGAACCTCCTATTCTGGCTTCAGAACAGCCATCCAGAGGTTCTGACCTATCTAGCAGCACCCAGCCTCAAAATGAGTTGCTCCAACCTGCATCTCGCAGTTGGAGTGGCCCATCTGAAGTCCAAACCCTGCCATCAGACAAATCCATTCTGACGAAGTTGGAACGAGAAGCGGGGTTGGGTTCAGATCAGGATGTCTTGGAGTTGTCACGTCCCCACCTCAACGACCTTTTACGTGTCTCTAACGTGAATTCTTTGAACAAAAAATGTGTTTCTGGAAATCAAGACACAATTGACTTGTACCAGATCAAAACATAGGAAAACTATATTTTGTTGCTTGCTTTGTGGTGACTTGTGTAGAAAAACATTTGACTTAGCACTATATCGCAGTGCAATATTAGAGGGGGATACATTCAAATTCTGATTTTGCTACCCACAATATCATTTCCACTATTAAGACGGTGATAAGGGCCGGTAATAAAACTCTGAGCAGCCTTTAGATCCGTGCACAGATAGGAAAAAAATCCTCCCATGAGGATTGACCATATTCCATACAGGCAGTCCTCATTTAGCAACCGTTCATAGTTACGACAGTGATGAAAAAGTAACTTTACAACCAATCCTCTCATTTACGGCCTACTCCTCCTCTTTTATGCATTACGCTCCCCCCTGTTCAAAATGGGCTTGCCAGGTTCTTGAAACAAAACAAAACTTAGTTGGAACCTAGCTAAAAATGGGCCACTTCTCCTTTGATCTACCTCCAGCAGAGTAAAACATTGATTATGTGCCGTTGAGTCGATCTGACTCTTAGTGACCACATAAATACTATAGTAAAATGCAAAAAAGGTGCTGAATAAGGAGCGTATTCAGTTTTCCTACTCAGGGATCCCATCAGTTGGCTAGACAAGCATGCATTTTTCTACTGTACCCACAATTCATTTTCCAATTGCTTCCCAACAGCCAGGCAATAATCTCGCACAAACCATATTTTGTCCATATTGGGGCATGTTAAAGGCTTTAGAGAGATTCCCCTCCTCCCCTTCAGCATTTTGCATTTTCGTAAACTTTGCACTTTCTCCCAGCTAAGGAATAATATTTGGAGAATAGATCCCACCCTTAGTATTACATGGGATATAAACCGAAAACAGAAAAAGAGGGTCGGTGGAGGTGTCACCCTTGTTCAGTCGCACCAGTGTTTTCCAGATTGGAGCGGGATATAAATTTTGGCCTTGTTTGGAGTAGAAATAGACAGAAAAAGTAAATTCCCGTTCAGAATAGACCTGGCTTGGGAGCAGGGGTGTCTGCTGTGGGGTCAAAAAAGTCAAGATGCATGGAAAAAATAGGGCAGGGGTTCTCTTGCATGGTTGCAAGATTGCATTCAGTCTTGACTTTTGTGACACCCCCCCCTTCTCCTGCAAACACTCCTGCCTGGGAGAGAAGGGGTTTGCCATTTTTGAAATCGTCCGGTGAATGCCTGCAAACACCCAGACACACATGCACACACGCACACACACACAAGCCCCCAGGGTGTTGCTAAACCGGTCCTTTCCTTCTCTCAAGGCTTTGTGAGTTTCGACAATCCCTCCAGTGCCCAGACAGCCATCCAGGCCATGAACGGATTCCAGATTGGTATGAAAAGGCTAAAGGTGCAGTTGAAACGGCCGAAGGATGCCGGCCAGCCGTACTGACAGGTGAATGGGTTGGTATATGCAAGGAAACCGGTGCTCCTGCAGGTAAAACAAGGAGCTTTAATGCCCCGACAAAGCTGCTGAAATTTTTTTCCCTGCCCCTAACGTTTGCACACAAGGGAAGCAAAGGAATGGGGCTTAAAAAATGGGTTTTCAACAGTTGCATGACCTTCTGGAGAGCGACCTATGACTTTGAAGGCAATCGGTTAACCTGTTCCTTGAATATAACGCGTTTCCTTCCCAAACCAGCCTCTAACCCTCTAGATCCACCAAGAACTGGAAGGCCTTGTTTTTAAATACTTGGATTAGCAACCCACAATTAGCTTTCCTGCTCATTGCAGAGGGTTGGATGAGATGATCCTCAGGGTCCCTTCCACCTCAATGATTCTATGACCCTATGAGTGTTTCTCAACCTTGCCAACTTTAAGATGTGTGGACTTCAACTCCCAGAATTCCCCAGCCAGCATTTGCGGACTTCAACTCCCAGAATTCCACAGCCAGCGTGCTTTAAGATGTGTGGACTTCAACTCTCAGAATTCTGGGAGTTGAAGTCCACACACCTTAAAGTGGCCAAGTTTGAAAAACAATGACATAGATTTTTTCCATGAATAGTGCCTTTAGTAATTATGATCATCTACACCATCCTAACATCTAAAATGTCCTCCTCCTAGCCATCAGCACCTTCCTTTTTTATATATACCAATTTTAAATTGCTTCTTAATTAATAACAAAAAGGAAAAAACAGAGAAATAATAGTAATACACGAGAAGAGGAGAAAGCAAACATTAAAAGGTGGTATTACAAAAAAGTGGCAAAAGTACCAGAACAAAAAAATAAAAAATTAAAAAATTAAAACTTAGCGTAGTACGGTATACTATTATACAGTAAATAGTTACACAACTATCTATATTTATCTAATGCAAATATTATTCAAATGCATATGTATTTCCAATACATTAGCACCTTCCTTGAGAATAAATCGATGCCTCTGTTCCACCTTCTCTGTTGGTTGCTATCTCGACCGTCCTCTTGAGTCACCCTTGACTCCTTTTGACTTCCCACGCTTTTACTTCCCCGTCTCATTTGCAGTTTTGAGATTTTCTCGTGAATTCTCCAACTTGGAAGTAGGATTCACTTAGACCAGGTTATCCAAGTGCTGCAACCAGCTGAGACCTATTGTGGTTAAAAAATTACGTTCAGGACGAAGCCAGGTTTTGTTCCTTTGTTATTCTGCTCAGTGACCGACGCGGAGTCCGGTTTTAAGGCAGTTAGGATAAGACAGTGTTGTCCAAACTTGGCCACTTTAAGATGGGTGGGAGTATACTTCCTGGATTCCCCCCCCGCACCAACCTTTGGTGGGGGACCCGGCGGGGGAGGACCGCCCTTGCTAAGGGGGGAAAGGGGGAGCC